CCCCCCTCCCCGATAAAGCTTTTCAGTGCGCTTATCTTTTTTACAGAAAGAGGTCAGGTTTTAACCGAACATACGCGAATTTTTCTATCCTTGGGAAAAAAGCTGAGAAATTGAAAGAAAAAACCCGGTTTTCTTAATCATAAATTTTTGATTTTGTAATTATAATCGCACGAGTAAAGAATTAATCAGCAGAACCACTTTTTCAGTAAGCGTTACTATAATATCAGTGATAATAACCTTATATGCATATTCCTACCATTTTTTTCGATTAAAACCAGAAAATACAGTCGAGGCCGAAGAATGATTAATTAAGGGGATTTCTCTCAGCGTAAAAACGTCGACAATTTGTCACTCGCGAGAGAGATACAGAGAATCCCGATTTCCGAGAGAAAGTACAGCTCGCAGAGAGTCGTTGTTTCGAAAATGTTTCGAAAATGTTCAAGGAGAAATAAGAAACCTGGTTACTTCTCGCTGGGTTTCGCAAGGAGAAGAACGCCGTGTCCTTGATAAAAGTTTAAACTAAAAGCAAGGTATACATATAAATCCGCGCTCTCTCTCCTCTCTCACGTCGAAGAGTGTGCGGTAACTCTCCAAGTTACCGCGTATACACTTCGCAGATATCTCGCTTAAAATTACCGTCGTCTCGGGCGCGATCTTGCAACATCTTCGAAACAATATACGGCTGCGCGCGTGCACATACACACGCGGTATTCGCTAATTGGCAGCTGAAGGGTTAATACAGCCATTCGCATACGGCGCGTGTCTCTATTTGTTCAACTCGACGCTGCATTAATTACGTTACAAACGGTACTGTTATATTTAGCGGTTCCGCACGATGCACACGTCGCGCGCGCGCATACGTACGGGATTTTCCGATGAACCGCGGCACGTGAATTCCTCGTCGGCCGCGCGCTAAAGCAACGTGAATATTGCACGCAACGCTCTTATACGTGGACACGCGTAGGAATAGATGCGGCTTCTTGCTCATAGACGCGTTCAGCATTAAAATGTCAAATTTAATTCAACGTCATTCAATACTTACACGATAGCTAAGGTAGACAGTACCGAAAAAAATCTGCCATGCCCCGGAATTTGATGACCAATTTGATAATCAATTTAATCACTAGAGTCGATGACCTTTTATATTGGATTAGTAAAATCATTTCTCAGTAGAAATAAAAAAGGCGAGTAAAAGTCAAGCGTTGGTGTCAGAGCGGAACAATATTTAACAATAAAAGAAAAATGTTTACAAAATTAGAAAGCCGAAGTCGTTCGATTTATTAATTACTACACCAGCTTGGCTCTCACTTGCCTTTTGTTTCTACTAATTGTATATCCCGACAGCCTTTATTTTTGTACAATAATTTGTGGCTGCAACATACTGTTGTTGAATTTTCAATTATTATAAAGAACAGGCATCGACGACAGATCAGAGAATAAAAGATGAGCGAGGAAAAACGATTCAATTATGCGCGTGATCGTATGCGATTGTAAACTCAAATTTATGACTCGTGTAATATGAGATCAGAGTTTCAAGAGAAAAAAAAGGGGAAAAGAGAGAGAGAGAGAAGAGATCGAGCTTTATATTTTCCGTTGGCGCGCGGAAGTTCTCAACGACTCGAGGATCGACGCGAGCCGGTGCATCGAGTACGTGGGCACTTAAGTCCGATTACCTTCCGCACCTTTCACCGACTTCGATAAGGTATTATATTTAAAGCAACGACACGTAACGTCGCGCGGCCGCGGAGGAATGAAGAAATCTCGTCGCGATTTTATCGCGATTTATCCGCGTTCGCGGAATGCGACGTCGTAATTGCGTCACAGAAAGACACGCGCGCTTCTCTCTCTCTCTCTCTTTTTCTCTTGTTCCCCTCAAGACTTTCTTACGAGGTTTAATTTTCCAGCTCAGTGAATACACATTTGGCGCGTGAGCATTCGACTACGAATTGTTCCCACTTTTCTCGTTTTCGCGGTATTCGCATAGAATAT